AGATTCGGCCCCTGGGCCGCTGGCGCGGCCGAAATGGTGGCAATCGAACTCGCAAAGTGCGACAGCTGGCAACTGGCGCTGCCCAAGGCCTTGAGGCCCAGGGCCCTGGGGCCCAGGCTGGCGGCTGGCGCGGGGCGCACGCGGGGGCGGGCGCGCCGGCGGGGGGGGGGGGCCGCACCGGCTGCCGACGTCGCGCAAATCGCAACGCGCGGCGCCGCCAAAACCACTGGGATCGCGCGCGCTCGGGACAAAAGCAACGGCAGACCAGGGGATGTAGCTCACTCATATCTGAATCGACGCGGCGGGCGCACCAGGTGGGCAGTGGGGCATCCGAGATTTCCAGCGCAAGCGCAATGAGGTTGCGCAGCGCCCCCGATGTGGCGTCGCCGGCAAGCGGTAGGCGCGATGCGATGGTCGACAACACCGCGCGGGGGACGGCAGCAGGGCACATATTGCTAGTATCTCGAAGGGGTAGGGTGGCACCGGGACTTCCGCCAATATTTCGAGGCGGGGTGGCAGGGAGTGGCTTTGCAGGAAAATCCCGGCGCGGGCGGTGCGGGGGGGCGCTCTGTAAAAATCAAAAATATACGACGGGACGGGGACTTCTTGCAAAATCTCGACGCGGTGACAGGCGGCGAGGGGGCTCTGCGAAAATCTCGAAGCGGGAAGAAAGGGAGGACAGTTTCTGCGAAAATCGCAATGCGGGAGGGCGACTTCTTGCACAAATCGCTACGCGGGCAAGGGGGAGGCGATGGGGGGGGCCTTGCCAAAATCGAAACGCCCTGGGGCGGCTGGGGCGGCTGGGCAGGCAGGGTGGATTTTTGTTTTTTTGTTTTGCAAAAACCGCGACGCGGAGGGGGGGGGCAGGGGGGACATTGCAAAAATTTGAAGCGATCCGGTTGCTGAGTGTCAGGAGCTGTTATTTTTTTGATCGAGCTCACAAGTGGCCAGCGTATGCATTCTGGTATTGGGCAACTTATACATTCTGGGGTTGGGAAGCGCATCGATAATTTCGCTGGGTATCAATGTTTGGGTTGGGGAACGTATCAGTCAGATCGCCGCGTATTAATTTTAGAATTGAGAAGAGTATGAACAATTTCGCCGGGCATCAATCTTAGCATTGGGCATCGTATCCATGATTTCGCCAGGTTTCAATTCGGGTTGGGAAACGTATCAATAATGTCCTGCGAGTTGAGGATTGCATCAATTTCGAGGTTGTGGTGCGGGCAGGGGAGCGAATCAAAAACGACATCGACGTATCAATTTTGGGCTGGGGAAGGCACCGATGTCGCCAGGCAGCCTCGGGGAACGCGTCAATAATTTAGCCGGGGATCAGTATTGGGGTTGGGAACCGCATCAATAATTCCGCCGGGTATCATGTCTGGGTTCGGGGAACGCATCAATAACGTCGCCGGGCATTCCCCCCCCCTTGGCGTTTTTGGCGGGGCCCGTCGAGCGCCCGCGCGCACGGGCGGCGCCGGGCGGCCGCGACAGGCACCCAATGCCCGCGTCTGGGGCCCGCGCCCCGACGCGCGAGGCGCCGCGCTGCTGACGCCGCGCCCCGCCTAGATCCCACCCCCGACGCCCCCCCCCCCCAAAAAAAAAAACGTGGAGCCCCTGCGCCGCCCCGTCGACGCCGCGCCCTCCAATTTAATGACTTTGATTGCTAGTTAGTTCCTGGACCCCAGACCGCGCGCAATTCGCCCAATGCCCTGCGCCGCGGACCCTGAGGCCTAAGCCTCAACCCCAGATCGCAAGGCCCCACACTCTGCGCCTAGGGCCTAGGGCCCAAGCCGCCCCAGCGGCCCTGCGCCCTGCGCCCCAGATTCGACTTTGCACCTCGGCCGCGCGCCCGCGTCAACGCCGCGCGCCCGGGCGCCCAAGCATGACGAACCTCTTCAGTTGACCGAGGGCCTCATGCGACAGGCCCCGACCCCGTCGCACATTGCAATCCAAACCGCGCCCCACGCCCCCGCGCAAAGACGCAATGCGTCGCCCGGCTCCACGGCCGATCTTTGCGCAGTTCAAGGCCTGGCAATACTGCCCGCCATGGCGCCATGGCAAGAGCAACGCAATGACTCCAACCGCAACGCCCGCCGGCGCCTGCACGCCGAAGGTTCTGCCAGCTTGGCAGCGCGGCCGCGGCCCTGAATTTCGCGCGGGGGGGTGGGGGGGGCAGAAGTAAGGGCGAAGGTCCCCGAAGATTATGAATGCCTGAATTAATCAAGGAGAAGCGCAGAAACTGGCGCGGAGAAACACGCAGCGGCGCTACGGGAGCGAGGGGGCACAAAGGAAGGATAATGAATTTGAATGAACGGGGCGGACGGGGCTTTATTCAAGCAGCGCATGACAACTGCGATCAAGCAAGGAGCACTGTCACAAGGCACTGGGGCCAAATCAGCATGGGGTGATTGGCGAAGAATGGCGGCGTGGACGACGGCCGTTGGAAATTCCCATGAACTGCTGGACTTGCAGACCAATATATCACATTGGGGCGTGGGCTCCCCGCCCGCATGCAGTCGCTATCTGGACCTGAAGCGGGCTCTGCGATTAGCGAGAGCCCCGCGAGCATGCTTCATTCTGGACTGGGGAGCCGAAGTGGCCGAAACGGCAGAGAGCGTCTTGATACCCACATTTTTCCCCAACGCCATCGCCCCAATGGGGCCGGTCTCGGAACGGGCCCAGGCCCCCCCCGCGCGAGCTAAGTCACGGTGGCGGGAGCGAGAATCTGCGAAAAAACAAGCTGGGCCGAGCTGGCCGCGGCGTGGGCCGGCCCGAGGCTCGACGGCTCGACGCAGGGCGCCCGCGCTCCGGGAGCGGGGGGGGGCGCTGCCCCGGCCCGGCCCGCAACGAGAGGCGCGCCTCCAGAGCGACGACTCCTGCCCGACTCGCCAGTCCAGGGCCTTCCGCCTGCCGTACTGCAGGGGCGCCCCAGGCCCGCGTAGCAGGCTCCCGCGGCAAAAGCACAATGGTAACCCGCGCCCGCGCGCGGCCCGAGGGCTGGCTGCTGGCGCGCGCAAGCAACATTGGCTCCTGCCCGACTGCTGAGTCCAGGACACCCCATCTGCCATGCTCCCGCAACGCACCCTCCCCGGAGGACCTGGCCGAGCAACCTCAGCAACGTTGGTCGCCAGCCCAACGTGCGTCCACCAGCTCGGCCATCCGAAGTCCCGCAGTCGACAGGCTGGGGAGCGACTGCCACGACACCAATTGGGCACGGTCCGTCCTCTGAACGCCCTAGGAAGCAGGGGTCACTAGCGATATCTCTGCCGTCCGCGACAATGAGATCGACGAACGCATCCGAGTTCCTCCTTCCGTCCGCCATGGCCCGATGAGAAGGCATGTCCAGCGCTATGCGCACGATAATATTAATGGACAGAATCAAAAGGGTCCGGTCGGTCCACGGGAAGATCCTTTCCAGCTGTTGCGTCGCCGCCTGTTCGACGCGCATGGACTCGTGCGCGACGAGCGGCGTGGCGTGGAGAAGTTCGGGCCTCATGACGCCATCGCGCACTTGGCTCAGCGTTCTCCTCGCAATGGGGCTTGTAGCCAGAATCCGGATCGTCCCCCGCGGGCTGCTGATAGCGAGGCCCGTCGGACCGTTGCCCCGGACTCTCCGGGGCATATATGCTTCGTACGCTTACGTGTCTGAAACCTTCAGCAGCCCGTCCAGGTCGCTGTGGAACGACACCTGAACCAACTCGTACTGGGTCTTGCACAGCCAGTGGGTCTGTTCCTCGCAGACCTGGAGCACCGATGCCTAATCGAATAGCTCGCTCAAGTCCAGGGCCCTCAAGACCCCGCCCAGATCTCATACCTGCATATGACCAGCCCTCCTGGATGGCATAGGATTCTGCCAGCACGCGCTCGGCAGCGTCGGTGTCGTATGGAGGCCACCTTGAGCTGCACGCCGGTGTGCTTAAGGTCCCGATTCAGCGGTCTTGATACCCCCAAATAGTGCTACGATGTGCTAGATGCGTGCCTCCACATTTAGGCACCAGCACCGTTTTGGGGCACTGACGTTTTCTCCAGCCCGTCTTGTCATGGCGAACATGTTTGGCAACATCGCTGCGTAGCATCAACAGTGTCCTCAACTGTCTGGCGCGCACTTCCTGAAGACGCACCACGTTCACCAACATATCCCACAACATTCACACAAGCCATCGACACAACACCTCAACTCAAAAATCTAACAACTTGCTCAACAGTTTAACTGGCGCCAAGCAAGCACTTTGTAACATCACAGAGCTAGTATGTTGGTAGTGACGCCGCCGTCATCGTTTCATCGTGCGTGCCTTGTTTGGCTCAAGGGCCTCGTTGAGACTGGGACATGCAACGTGCTCGCTACTCGCTTCGCGGAAACCGTACAAACGACTCGCTTCGCGGAAGCAGTACACAAGGAACTCACTTTATAAAGCTGTATGAACTGATAATCGTGGTAACTGCGTGCACGGAACATGTAAATGCAACATCGTGTGAAAATGCAGTCAACTTGACCAGCTTTCAGCGGGGGAGCTAATCCGAGAAATGTGCAGCTGTATCCGTACATGCACGTACTCGTTCATACATACATAATGATCTAGATATCTACATTGATACATACGTACATACATACATACATACATATATGCATGCATGCATACATACATGCATACATGAATGCATGCATGCACATATGCACGCATACATATATACATACATACAGACATACATGCATGTATGCATGCATGCATACGTACAAACATGCAGACATACATGCATATACACCTACCTACATACATACATACATACATGCATACATCCACCCACCCACCCACCCACCCACCCATCCATCCACACATACATGCAAGGCCCGTCCAGTGCCTCTCACACCTTTAGGCAAAGAGATGGGAAGCAAGAAAGACAGGAGAGCAGGGACAAGACGAGACGATCACTTTTCCAGAGCGGCGAGCTGCGCTCACGGAACAGGTGCTTTGAAGACGAGTGCCAGCAGCTGCACCGCACCCTGTGTCTTTGCCAACCCCTAGGGAAGGGAAGGTGGGCGCCAGAACTCCTTTGAGCCGCAGGTGGCCGCGGAGAGCTTGGGCCTCCGCTCTAAGAAGCTCCTCGAGGCCACGCAAGAACGTTCAGAAACCAAACATGCATGGCCCGCCCAGTGCCTCGCACACCTTTAAGCAAAGAGATGGGAAGCAGGAAGGACAGGAGAGCAGGGACAAGACGAGACGATCACTTGTCCAGAGCGGCGAGCTGCGCTCACGGAACAGGTGTTTTGAAGACTAGTGCCAGCAGCTACACCGCACCCTGTGTCTTTGCCAACCCCATAGCAACAAGCACCCTTACTTGGTGACATGGCAGGCCTGTCGAGGGTGGGTCGGGGGGGGGGCGAAGCGCGACTGCCTGCATCAAAAATCAAAAAGGACATGACAAGCTCGACGGCACACTTAGGCTAGACGCCCGAGCTTTCGCAAGGCAGCTCGCAGCTTGCTCAGGAGAGAGGGGCCCAGACAGAGGCTCCGCGCCAGGAAGGGCTGTGCGAACTTGGACCTCACACGCGGCAGGGTGCCTGCCTTCTCGCACCGACGGACGGACTCGCGGGCCTTCCAGCGGCCCCGGCGCTGGATCGAACGAAGGTCCTCGAACTTCTCGGGCGCGTCCCGGCTGGCACCCCCATGTCGAAGGCAGTGCGGTGTGAAAGTCACAGGTAGCTGCAACCGTCTGCAGGCCATCTTCACGACAGCCTCGAGCCTGGCCAGCGCGAGCCCGCCGAACGGCTTGTCCTGGCCAGCGCGCGAAAGCAGGATGCCCATGATGCCGCCCACGAAGGCCTGGCCCTTGGCGGCGTTCCCGAGGAAGACGGTGTCGTCGAACGCGTTGGTCTTGGACGGGACTGGCTGCGTCGCCGGCGCCACGGTGACCGCCCGCAGCCTCTGGGGCCCCGAGCGTGCGGGCCGTAGAACGTCGGCGCCGCGAAGGCTCAGCGCCTCGGGCGGCCGGAGGTAGCCGTCGAAGGCCACCAGCAGCAGCGCGCCCGCCAGCGTCGACTGCAGGTCGCGGCCGATGAGGTCGTCCGCCACCGCCAGAACCGCCTCCCAGACGGCCGGCACCCGGCTGCCAGGCGGCTGCAGGCGGCCCCAGCCCTTGAGGGCCTGCTTGGCCCGCGGAAAGGCGCCACCCTTGGTCGCCCAGCCGCGCTGCCAGGCCAGCCCGTAGAGGCACCAGCGGGCGTTGGCCTTGGCCTCGCCGCCGAGGAAGAGCGACTCGAAGCAGCGCTCCAGGGTGGCGCCCGCCGCGCGTGGATCCGCGAAGCCCCCGCCGCTGCCCGCGACGAATTGGTCGAGCTCCTGCGCGCAGCCCGAGTAGCGGGCCGCCGTCGCCGGCCGCACGGTGGAGCGCCGCAGGAGGCCGGGCGCCTGCTCCCGCGGCTCGGCGCGCGCCTGCCCAGCGCGGCCGCCCGCCTTAGTCCCAGCGCCTCTGGCAGCCCCGCCAGAGCAGCCGGTGCCTGAGCGGGCAGCGCGGGGGGCCGACTCCAGCGGTACTGCAGCCGCACGCGGCTGCCAGCTGGCGCTCCCAGCGGCGCTCGAGCTCGGCATCTCCGCCAGGTCGCGCGGCCGCCGCGGGCGCCAGGTGCTGGGCGACGTCGGCATAGGCACGACACAAGCTCGGCGGGTACGCGGCCGCCAGGCTCGTCTTCCACCCCCAGCGGCCCTTCACAAAGACCTTCCCCTGCAGCACCTCACAGCGGCGCTGGCACCTGCACTCGCGGCGCAGCGTGGCGAACAGAGGGTGGGACGCGGCAAACCCGGTCGGCTTCTGGAACGGCGTCCCGAAGCGGCACTGGCACAAGTCGACGAGGATCGCCCCAGCCGGCTTGAGCGCTCTCGCCAGGGGCCTCCACGTCCAGAGACGCGACCGCCGCGGGTTCTCGAGCGTGAAGTGGGCTCCTGCACGGCACTCCTGGATCCGGCGCACCGTGAATCGCGCCGCGGCAAGGCCCCCCGCCGGCTCTGAAGTGCTGGAGGACCGCGCAACAGACCACCGTGCGCACGGGGTCGCGAGGTGCATGAGCCAAATAGCGCCGGAGCGGATCCACCTGATGATGACCTTCTGGACCTTCGGTTCCGCGACGTCGAAGTGCGGGCCCTTCTGGAGGTCCATGGGGATCCCCACGCGGAGCCCCGCCTCCAGGATGGCCCCCGCCATGTACCCCTCGCCCGAGAAGATCTCCAACAAGAGCCGTCGGCCCTTGACCCGGATGTTGAGGATGACGGCCCTGGGGGTAGATACCACGCGTGCTGTCCACCTGGTGCCCTGGGTGCCCTGGAAGATGTTGAGCTGGGATTGATGGGCGAGTTCGCCCCGATCTCGACGGAGAGCTCTCTGGGGGTTCGGGCTCGGACTGCGTCGGAGGACGTCTTTTCAAAACACTGGCTGCGCCAAGAGCTGGGTGCCGATCCGGGGGGCGCCCAGTCGGCAGACGGCCCCGAGGCCCTCGCCAGACCTGGCTGGGCTGAAGCAGACCGCGGTCCGCGGCGCGGCTCATGTAGTCCGCTGCGTTCCGCGCGCCCTCGACGTGGCGCTGCCGCCACGCGATGCCGGAGGCCAGCTGCAACGCGGCCGCCCGCCGGCACTGCGCGAGGAGCTCCCGGTTCGCCGCGCGGCCCTTCTCGTCGAAGGCCGGGACGGAGCCCAGGTTGTCCCTGGCAGAGAGCAGCTCCGCGTCGTGGCACGGGACGTAGCTGGCCGCGCGCGCCAGGCCCATCAGCCCACAGCGCGCCTCGTAGTCGCGCATGCGGCTCGCGTCGCGCTAGCGCCGGCGACGACCAGCCCCCATCGCTTCGGGTCCACGAAGTCGTCGGGCAAGGGCGGCGGCCGCCACCCCGAGTCGATCTCGACCCGACTGCGCTCCGGCACTGGGCCGCGCGGCCTGGCCCTCTCGAGCGCGGCCTGGCCCTCTCTCGACAGCATCGCCGATCGCGAGCGAGCCCTTGAAGCCGTCGTGCTCTCGCTCCACGAACTTCTCTCGCCTGCTGAAGCGGGCCCGCCCCCGGAATCGGCAAAGATCGTGAACTTCGTCCGCCGAGATGTCGGTCTCCAGGAGCGCGCGGCCCTTCATGGAGGCGCCCGTCACGAACGCGACGGGGCAGGCTGGCAACCCCCAGCGGCCGGCGGCCATGAAGAGGATCGACTGGGCTATCCTCAGCTCCTGCAGCGCCGCCGTCGGCAGCTCGCGGACCTCTCCGAGGCCCTCCTAGACGAAGTCGCACAAGACGCGGAAGACGGAGAGCCCGGGCCTGAGCAGCTGGAAGAAGGACACCAGGTGGCCCAGGACCGCGCGCACCTGCCAGCCCGCGGCCTTCCGCCACTTCAGGAGGAAGGTCACGCCGCCGCACAGCCGCCACAGACGCTTCGTTGGGCCGCACCAGGCCCTGCACGCCGTCCACGATGACGCCCAGGATCTCCACCTCGACGCCAGCGTCCTGCTTCTCGTGCCACTTCAGCCCGAGCAGGTCGAGGGCCTTCGTCGCGCGCTCGAGCCGGGCCTGCGCGACCTCGCGCTCGAGCCCGATGACGTTGGCGTTGTCGACGCACGGGGGGTCGCCCACCATGCCTGGCCTCAGGCGAGCTGCCGGCGCCTTGTCCAACACCATGGCGTCGCTCGGGCCCGCCGAGATCCTCATCACATGCGCAAGCTTCTCGTGGCAGATCCAGAAGGCCCAAGACCAGCCCATCGCCAGCCCGCCGCAGGCGGGCCACACGCAGTCGTTCTCCAGGGCCACGTCGACGAAGGACCCAGCGTCGCCGTCGTAGACCTGATGCGCGCCGAGGTCCATCGCGCGGACGCCCGGCATGTCGAACACGAACCACTCGGGCAGGGGCAGGACCTTGAACTGGTGGAAGCCGCCCTTCAGGTCGACAGTGGCCGCGTACAGGGCGGCCTCGTCCGAGCTCACCGAACAACGCTGACGCCAGTCCGTTCCCACCTGCGCCGCTGCGAGAGCCTCGACCGACGCCATGCTGGTCTGGGGGGGTAACCGATGAAACTGCTTGGGCTGCCGACCGTCCACAATCGCGCGGGGGCGGTCTCCCATCTTCTCGACGACAAACAGACCCACGGTCGCCTTCTTCTTGCGGGGGGCGACCACGATCCCCATGTCGGCCAGGCGGCGGAGCAGCGCAAGCAGGCGTGGGCGATTGGCCCGGGCCCTTGGGTTCAGGAGGGGGCCCCAGTACGGCTCGACATGGGGCTCGTCCGCCAGCTCGTCGGAGTGGCGCTCCAGGAACCGATTCGGCTCCATCAAAACTTGTCGAACGTGATCGGGGACGAGGTCGAGCGCCTCCCGAGGCTCCGCGGAGCCCTGCCTGCAAGAGGGAAACCTTGTCCTGGTCGAAGGGCCGAACGGTGAGCCGGCCCTCCGCGGAGTAGATGTTGCTGGACTTGAGAAGCTCCCGGAAGGCCTCTCGTGGCTGGAGGTCGGTCGGCGGCTGGCCATGCCGAGCAACCGATCGCACCACGCGGTCTAACACGGACTCCTGCGGAGGGGTCAACGTGGAAGTCTGGCGCACCCGCCCAGGCTGGGGGGCGCGTGGCGCTCGCGCGCAGGCCAGCGCGTTCAGGCTCGAGAAAATGTCCTCGGTCGCCCTCCGCGCCCAGTCCCGCTTGGCACGTCGGCGAGCGGCCCGCCGGCCCGCCGGGCGCTCTCGGCTGGTCTCCTCGAAAAAGTTGGAGGGCAGCACCAGGGGGAAGGGGTCGGACGCCATAGCGACAACGAAGCCTTCGAGACAAAACTGCGGGCAAAATTGCGGCCGCCGTAGGACAAGCCCTTGGCAGCCAGGAGTCCTGCCTCCGGGGCGGAGGACGGACAGAGCGGGAACTCCCGCTCCGGGTCACTTCCCTCCGCCTCCGCGGTTGCTTCCGCCAGCGGTCCGCTTGGCTTCGGCATCCCTCTCCTCTGCGTAGATCCTCGTGTTCTTCATGATCGCCGCCTTCGTCTTCTGCTCCTGCGCAACCCACTCGTCGAACTTGCTGGTGACCACCCCGCCCGTCTCGTCCAGCGCGGAGGCCAGCATGTCCTCCAGCCCGACGTAGTTCGGATGCTTCGGGTCCCGGCGGATGGCCCGCTGCATCTGCACGACCCTCCCGGCGATCAGCTCGGCCCCCGCGAGGTTCGCGACGTCGAGCTGGTCGTGCTCGATGAAGTGGCGCAGCGCCTCGAGCAAGAGGCGGATCTCGTGGGCAGCCGCGCTACCCGGTGGAATCCCGCTGTTCGTGATGCAGTGGCCCGCGTAGCCCGCGATCCCTAGGCCTGACGCCCGCGCGCTGGCCAGGAACTCAGGCAACGCCTTCGGCCCGCGGAAGACCCGGTCGTCGGCGTCCTGCGGGCGGTGAGCCTCCATGGCCTGGTCCAGCGTAGCTCGACGCGGCCCGCCCGCTCCGATCCGACGGACCGGGCACACCCGAGGATCCCGTCCAGGCCCCGAATGCTTCTCGTCGAGCCACTGCTGGTGCCGCTCCTCCGGCACGTTCTCGCACGCCGTGAAGATCTCCTCGCCGTCGTCGTTGTCCAGCATCGACAGCGCCACCGCCCCCCGGCGCACGAAGCGATCGTCGGCGCCGCTGATCACCGCGTCGAGGACCGTCCCGAACTGTGGGTGGGCTGGATCCGCGACCACCCAGCGAGGCGGGGCCCCTGCCGCGCCACGCGGCACGTCGATGCCCAGCACCGTCGCCAAGGCCGCCGCCTGCTCCCTGATGCCCTCGAGCTCGCCGTCCTCGAACGGGTCGAAGGCATACAGCTGGCCCGCCAGGCGCCGAGGGAACGGGGCGTTCCGCGGCAGGGGCACCACCCGGTGCGTCGTCAAGTCCCCGAACTGCACGCTGTGGTCGGGGGTCACCCAGATCCACTTGCCGGCGCCCGCCGGCACGAGGAGGACCCGCACGTGGAAATTGAACCCATTCGGGTCGTCGAAGAAATCCACCGCCACTTGGGGCTCCGGGATGTCCAGGCTGCGCGCTATCACGCTCGCCTGGCCCGCAGCGAAGCTGGTGTCGCCGCTGGCCTCCCCTCGTCGTCTCCGTCAGCGGCCGCCCCCTGCAGCGCCAAGACCGGCGCGTCGTCCCCGGCGGCCAGGCTGTCCAGCAGCCCTGGCGCCGCCGCCCTCGGCTGCCAGCGCAGCCGCCAGACGGCCCCGGCCAGCGCGGCGGTCAGGACCCCGAACGCCGCGCCCGCGGCGAAGACCCCCGTACGCCGGCCCTGGCGTGGGGCAGCGCAGCTCGGGGCAGCCTGGGCAGACCGGGCAGGTCAGCTGCTCCGGCCCACACCGGTCGAGCTGCCTGCCCAGCAGCCCGACGATCTCTGAGGGCACGGAGCAGTCCGCCACGCAGTTGCAGGCCGGGCACTGCGGCGGCAGCAGGTATGGCGCGAGCGGAGCCGCGGCGTGGACCAGGCCGAGGGCCCAGTCCATCCCCTCGCCAGAACTCCTTTGAGCCGCAGGTGGCCGCGGAGAGCTTGGGCCTCCTTTCTGAGAGGCTCCTCGAGGCCACGCAAGAACGTTTAGAAACCAAACATACATACATACATGCATGCATACATACATATATACATGCATACACATTTACATACATTACATTACAATACATTACATTACATTACATTACATTACATTACATTACATTACGTTACATTACATTACATTACATTACATTACATTACATTACATTACATTACATTACATTACATTACATTACATTACATTACATGACATGACATGACATGACATTACATTACATTACATTACATTACATTACATTACATTACATTACACTACATTACATTACATTACATTACATTACATTGCATTACATTACATTACATTACATTACATGACATGGCATGGCACGACATTACATTACACTACACTACACTACATTACACTACATTACATTACATCACATTACACTACATTACATCACATTAAATTACATTACACTACATTACATTACGTTACATTACATTACATTACATTACACTACACTACATTACATTACATTGCATTGCATTACATTACATTACATTGCATTACACTACAGTACATACATACACACACATACATACATACATACATACATACATACATACCTACATAAATACATACATACATACATACATACATACACACATACACACATACATACATATTGTACATCGATGTCTGTATCCCCAACGCCGTGCTGCTGGGCACTGAGCGGACTCCTCCTTCCTGGCCCCCTTGTCCCCCTCCCTTGCCCCCTTCTCTTACACTTTCTTATATGTGTCCTCCACCTAGTCTTCCTCCTCTTCTTCCTCCTCCTAGTCCTCCTCCTCCTCTTTTTCCTCCTCCTCCTAGTCCGGCCGTTCATGCGGTGGAGCAAGGTGGTCGAAACCCGAAGTAGGAAAAGGAATCGAGGGAAAAGAGGAATTGCGAGCGAATTGCAAGGCGATGCTGCCAGGGAGACTCCACAGCACTGCAGTGGGCAAGAACTACCACACCTGACTCAACCACGATCCCTCCTCCTCCTCCTCCTCCTCCTCCTCCTCCTCCTCCTCCTCCTCCTCCTCCTCCTCCTCCCACTCCTCCTCCTCCTCCAACCGTAACTTACTAGCACCATCCTCCCTATCATCACCACCATCCTCAATCGTATTGCCATCCTCTTAGCCCATCCGTCATCCAGGAACGCCGCCTGCCGTTTCGTGGGCTTTGCCAGGTAAGCTCCCGCAAGTCGCCAACCCAGGCGTCCACGCTCGAAAAACTGCCCCGTCCAACGCAGAAGACAGAAAGGCAGCCGAGCCTCCAACGCCTGCAGCTTCTCGAGGAGGGGCAGCGTGTGCAGCGCCTTAGCCACACGTGGAAAAAAATCCGCTACGATCGGGACCTGTTGCCTAGCGTGTCGCCACGGCGGCCCTTGGCGACACGCCATGACCTGCAAGCGGATAGCGTGTCGCTCCGCTCCGCAGGGCGGGAGGTCGGAAAACGCTCAGGGCGTTGGTGCTGGGGGGCCGCGAACTAGTGGATAGCGTGTCGCACTGAAGCGCGGTGGGCCAGAACCGGCGGAGCGACACGCTATCCTAAACTACCCAACCGTCGGCACGTCCTGCTACTGATGATCCCACCCCACCCCATCCTCTTTCGCAGACGTCATCGAGCCTGCGAGGCCAATCAACTCGAGCTGAGCTCCGGCATGTCACTAGCACTGGTCACCACTCCGCCAGCACGGTGCAGCAAGCAAACGAACCACGCACACCTCCACCGAACACACGGAAGCAGCAACTGAGTCCTGCGACGCTGGGGATGCATCACCAGGCCCTCGAAGCACGATGTGGAGCGACCTCTGCTCAACAAGAGCGCTCCGCTGAGACAATCGACCTCATGATTCTAAGATGAAAAGTATGACCGGCCGCCGGGCCCACGGGCTGTCCTGCAGTGCGCCGCGCGGCTGGTTCCGAACCAGAGGGGCAAGTCGAAAGGCGGGGGGCCAATCTTGCCCAGCATGGCTTCAGGGTGGCTCAAACATGGGCCAAGCTAGCACAGGCTGGATTTCAAGATCGCCTGGAGCTACCAGAATGGGCCCAGGATTGCTCAAGACCTTCTCCCCCCCCTCCGCCCGCCCCGCCCCTGACCCGCCCTCTCCTGCTCCAAGCTCTCTACCCCTCGCTGTCCTTCTGCCACTCCCACATCTCCCTTTCCACACCACCTCCAGCTCCGCAATGTCCTCTCTTCCTCCTCATACCCCTCCTTATCCCCTCATCCACCTCCTGATCCTCCTCATCCGCTTTCCAATCCTCCTCATCTGCCTTATCGTCCTCCTCCTCCTCATCATCATCAGCATTATCACCACCACCACCACCGCCATCATCATCACCATCATCCTCCTCCTCCTCTTCTTCCTCCTCCTCCTCCTCCTCCTCCTCCTCCTCCTCCTCCTCTCATCATCATCATCATCATCATCATCATCATCATCATCATCATCATCATCATCGTCATCATCATCATCATCATCATCATCATCATGATCATCATCATCGCCACCACCATCATCATCATCATCGTCATCATCACGAGCAGCAGCAGCATCATCATCATCATCATCATCATCATCATCATCATCGTCATCAGCATCGTCATCATCGCCATGCCCTTCCAATTTATCAACATGTTCCTTCTCGCCCTCGTCCCACTCGATTCCCTCCTCATCAGAAGACACCTCCCCGTCCTCCATCACCCCCATCTTCTACCCCACATTATTACCCTCGGCATCATCAAAATCATCCTCATCATCATCAGCAGCATCATCAGCATCATCGTAACCATCGTCAGCATCATCACAACCATCACCAGTACTACCATCACCACCACCACCACCATCATCACCATCATCATCATCATCAGCATCACCAGCTTCATCATCATCATAATCATCATCATCAGTATCATCATCGTCATAATCATCATCACTCGCAGCAGCAGCAATATCAATATCACGCCCCCATGGTCTCACAATCTTCCTCACAGGCACCGTGGCATCAACAACTGGGTCAGCACAAGTATCATGATCATCATCGTCATCATCATCATCTTTATATCCCTCTTTTCCTGGCAGCTCCACCACACACACACACACACACTAAAAACAAAAAAAACTCAGCGTGCATGCCAGAATGTGCGAGAGCTGGGGAATGGATGCTAAGTCTCCCACCTTCGACCCCTCCTCATCGTCATCATCCCCCGACCTTCCTCCTGCTGCCATCACCCCGCACCCCCCCACAAGAGAAGACAAGGGGCGCTGCAGCAAGCGAACGGAGGCGGACGCCGCCGGGCGGGTCGGGCGGGCGGCACATGAAAGAAGTGGGCGGGTCGCAAGGGCGAGCCATGACGGGTACATCGGTTGGACGGAACCTAACGGGAGGGCGGGCGGGCGGACCTTAACGGGCGGGCCAGGCGGATCCTGACGGACGGGACGGGGAG